CCGACAGTGTAGGGGTGGAGGGAGTTCTACGGTGAGCGACGTGTGCTGCTGCCGGCGTCGCTAAATGTTGTGCGCCGCCGGCTGCCGCTGCCACGCCTCCCCGCAAGAGCGAATTTATGATGAGGACCCCGTTGGTCAGCATACGAGCCAGATGATATTAGTGCACGACTCGGCACGTTGTGACTTCGGTACACCCGACATCAACACACTTATGTGGACTACGGAGCTAAGATGAAGCGGGCGACCGGGGCATTGGCGAGATGGTGGGCCCGATCAGGCACCGTGAACGGCTGTCTCCCCGCCCATGGGTGTGCGCCCTTAAACACGGCAACGCAATGGCGAATTATATTGGCGAGGGCCTGCTGGATCATAACCATGGGAGCCCCCCACCCCCCTCCCGGCGTTAACTAATCCACGGAGACTCCACGCACTCGCCGCCCCATCACACTTCCTCCAAGCACAGACATAAGCTGTCACCCACGTCAACCCACTCTCCTTGGCTCCCACACGGATGGGACCCCCCCACCCGCCCTTCTTCCGGCGCCTTGGCATTGTAATTGGCTCGTCTGCGTGGGTCCTCGATAAGTTAGGTTTTTTATCGCATTTCAAATCTTCGAGAAAACCACGTTTAAGTCCTGTTTAAAGTGTATCCGAAAATGGACGGTGACTCGTTCCCTCACCTGACCTCCAGGGTGACGGCTCCCTGTTTGGACGACACTCCCCGTGCTCCGTTCACGATGGGCGGCCCACCATTCGCTCGGTCACGCCCAGCGCTCGCAGCTTTCCGCTGCCGCGCACGCGCCTTAGGTATCGCCTCGTCCAGCACGGAAACGTCGCCTCCGGCGCTTCTACGCCCTGGCCTCCCGCCTGCCGGAGCGACCTTTGCGAGGCACCGCCCCACAGCGCGTCCCTCAGAGGCCTGGAGGTAGACAGCGCCCCCGATGGGACGGTGGAGCCCCTTGGCAGACGACGAGTGCCCGGAGTAACCCGCGTTCACGCCTTACGGCCTCATCAGCTGGCGTGCTCTGGAGGCTCGGCCTGACCGGCCTGTCCGGCGACCTGGTTCCTCGCCGCACTTCCTACGGGCGTCGATGGCGGGGTCTCTATCCGTCCCGAACATCCCGTCATCAAACGCCCATAAGGCCTGGCGTACACCACGTCGGAACAGAGCAGGCCGTGTCCTGTTCCGTCCCAAGGCGGGAACACCACGGATAGACCCCGCCACCGCCGTCCATAATCCGGCATGCCGGGCGGTGCCCACTGGTCCTAGATCATACCATGACCTATGCCTCTTTTATGCCGTCGGGCCTGGATTCTAATGGGAAACAGTAACACGAGTCAGCTGTCTTCGAAAAAAAGGAGCGACATCTTGCTTTGAGCCGCGCTACCACAAACATATATCTGCGTAAAAGCAGGGCTGCAGTCGTCTGGCCCCTCGACCCTGCCGTAGCCACGCCGTGGTGCTCACTTGCCGGCGGGCCGCTAGCACTGGACTGCCCGGTCCATCCACACCAAGGCACCGCCATCTACAGCTTCGGAGCCGGCTAACGAGCGAGCCGTCGCACCCAAGCGTGCGTCCACGGCTCCGGACACAGCGCCGTCCAACACCGGGCACGAGGGCCCTCCCACCGCCTGGACCAATCCCTTTCGAGCCTCTCCCCCACGCTAAACCATCGAAACGCAAGCCGTCGCCTGTATGTACAACAAAAATTACACCCACCCCCACCCCCTTTTCGCCCACTCTTCGGGAGGGGACTAATCGCCGTGGCCTGCGCGCGCCCGGTGGGAATGGAAAAAAGGGCACGCCGGAGCGCCAGCCATCCATGGTCCCGTGGGAGGGTGGACAACAGCCCAGGCACTCAGGTCGTGCGTGCTGTCGCCGGTGACCGTCGCCCGCCGTGCCTGATATCGCAGTCGGGTGCCGCGAGCTGGAGCTTGGAGAGTCGACCTCGAGGTGTGGCTGCAGGCGTTGGGCGCACTCCCTGGCACTGACGGTCTCCGGAGCCCCTTCCACGATGTTTTATCGATTTTCGACGTCTCTTTACCGGGTCGGCCCGCCCTCGTCTTCTCGCGTGGCTGGGCCAGATCTCGGGCGTGGTGTCGCTGACGATGGCGCAAGGCCCACCCGCTCTTGGCTCGGGCGGGCCCTGTGCGTCCCCATCTGCCCAGTTCACACTTGGCGTGGCTCTTCTGATGGCATCTGGGGCGACGGCGGGCCGGCGCGGCAGGGCTTGCTGGGGCGAAGCAGCAAACATCCTAACAACATGTTATCTGCACATTCCTGTGCACATGTTGCGTCGCCGGTCGCCTGCTCTCGCCCACATTTTTGTTGGCGTGATGGACAATTTTGACAGATGGGGCCGCCGTCCTGGTTGTTCCGCGGGAAGCACGTGGCGTTGTTTTGACGATGTGAGCTGATCGGCTGAAGCGTCGAGCCGAGCCGCATTCTTCTCCCGGCCTGATGGACATGTTTGTTCGTGGGGGGAGCTCTGGACCATGGCCGGCTGGTCCGCTGTTTCACGCTCCGTGCGCGCGGTACCACCGGTCTCGGACGGGTTCCGCGCGGGATGACGAAGTATGAAAATGTACGTAATGTATGTTTTCTCACAATTTCCGCACAGATCATCAGCCACAACACCGGACTTACCGTGACTTCCATTCGAAACAAAGTATCAACGTGGGCTCATGGTAATGCCGGTCAAGAGGTTTTTCTTGTAAAACCCAATTGTTTGTTCAAGATTTAAATTTGTCGTACCATATGTGAGAAACAGAGAAATATATGTATCTAAAATTACTGTAATGTTTCCCTAATTTCACAATGCCTTGCTAATCCATAAACCCGTGCAACGGTCTGTGCTCCGGTACACAAGGCGCCAGCCGAGCTGTCTGCAAGAGATACGGTAGTAGAAGAAGAAAACACGCCAGCAGGAGAAAAAAGACAGATTTGCCGTCGCGTCTTCTTTTTCATAACTTCGGGAGAGTGCCCATTTGATGGGTGCCGTACTTTTTTTGCAGACAGTGGCATTCTTTTCTATAACATTGACCTGTGGCCTAGAAATATGGAAAAATGATCCGTTCACGAGTATCGCACGACCCGAAGTTGTTCACGCTTGTGTTCGCGACACGCATTCAGCAGTAAAATCTCACTAACAGCCTATCATCTTCCGCGGAATGTACCACATGTGCAGCACTATCGCCTTTGCGAATGTATCAGCGGCCATGCTGTTTTGACCATAAACGAAAAGCAGCCTGTAATATCACGAGGATCTAATGACGCTTCTATGGCGTCCCCAATCAGAAGGCGATTTTGAAAACGGCTCTAAATAAAACCTTTCGTAATCTGCGGGCATGTAACTCAGGATCCAGAGCGTTTTGGGTCTTAAAAAGTGAATATCCGTGAACTGCATCAAAATGTCTTCATGACGGCTATTTCAGTTCAAAACGGCCAAACGAATGTGGAACATTCCCTTTAAATAGCCCTGTCGATTTAGGAAAACTTGTTTGTGGAGACTTGAGCTGAACTTTCAAAGGTAAACGTAGGACGCTGGAGCGACACATGCCGAGGATTTATTTAGAACTTACTGCTGCTGAGAGGAGCAACGGCTTTGAGGCAAAAGAGGCCGAGCATCGCTGGTGCAGGCCTCTTACACTGCCCGTTACACCTCAAGCTTGGCATACTGATCGGTGGACAGGCGTGAGATAAAACGTTTTTGATCGCCATCATATTGCACATACAGCTAAATGAAGGTGATGGCGGTGTAAAGGACAAAATCCTCTAGTTTCTGAGCTACACGCCCCCGATGTGCATGCTATTACTTACAAACCAATTCAAGGCAGCCGAGGCATCCATGACGCTGTAGGAACGGTGTTGAAATCCTACCATCCCATGCGGTGCGGACCATGCGGCATTCGAAGTCAATATGCATATTCATGCTAAATTTTCTAAGAAGTCAACTTTTTTGCGCGAGAGTATAGTCAGGCCATCGGAAATTTAAGCAGATTTCCGACGTGATAAAACAAAACCAAGCTATGAATGTGAGGCGGCTGGCGTGCTACCACAAAGTAATCCTTCTTCATGAGATGATTACAACGGGGCAGCCATCAGCACTGGCAGCTATGCTCAACACAAACGTTGACAGGACAGGCTGCTGTCGACTACAACCTCCTGCCACGCTACGTGAGGGTTGCCAACCACTCGTGTTTTGCTGGCACGGTTAGCCAGGGTTTTTACATGCCATGGGGACATGAAGATGCGTTTTTAATGGATGTGAGATGTATATGCTTTTCGTTGAATGAATGAACCTTCCTGTACCTTGGAATGTTTTAAGACAATACGACAGGCATGTATTTTATCCTTTGATGAAATACAAGGTACATTGGAATGTGCTGCAACGTGAATACATACCCCATTGTCGAGCTGCTTATATCTGGTGACTTGAGCACGGATTTCACACACAATGACAGTCCACTGACTCTTAGATATGTTGTGCAAGCTATGCAAGATTCCTATGGCAATGGCAGCGATTGCGTTAAGGGTCAGATCACGTCAGAAAACAGGTCCGACCCTGTCGAGCATTGCGACACGTTAAGCTCTCGCCACCAAAATCTGCCGTTAGCCAGACATTGCGCGATCAGATGGTAGGGATCACGGCATACACACAAGCACTGCTTCGCGTGAGATTTGTTCCCAGAAATTACATAAGCAACTAAAACTGACTGTTCCGCTCAAAAGTATACAAATAGATGTAAGTGAGTTTATTCCACCACTTGCTTACTTCATATCTTCAAATGTTGAGCGTTTCCTTTACGAGAACATTTCAGAACAGACACGGAGAGTGCAGAGAACTCCATGCCTTATTCCTTGTCAGTAACATCGGGTCTGACGCAACTGCGATCTATTCCCCACACCTCGGAAATTTTGACTGACTTGGTTGGCTGTTTCCGACTGACGTAGGCACATAGGTGGCAGAAAGCCGGGTACCAACCAACCCGGTAGCTGTTGCGCCATGCGAAGTAGCTTTCATACGCGGTGCGGTTCTCCATGAGAGATGTGAGATAGGTTGCCAGCAGCTGCACGCTGGCAAAATCCTGCACGTGAATGAAGGAGTTGGGTGGGGCCACGCGACGGTAGGACTCGGGCGACGCTCCACGCACCACCGGCACTATACCCGCCCGCAGAGCGTGCCAGAACTTTTCTGTAATGTAGTCTTCGCACAGGCTGTTCTCAAATGACAGGTAGAAGAAGTGCGACGCAGCAAGAGTTCGGTAGCAGGCCTCCGCGTTCCTTCCACCGCCTTGGTCGCTGGGGCACTTAAGCGTTCCGCATCTGCCGTAGATGTCCACGACAAGATGCCGTGCGAGCTTCTGGACGTATTCCTCCCTCTTGGAGTGGGTGCTGCAGTGCGACACCACCCAGGCAGCTGCGCGGACTCTGTCGGTACACGAACATTGATTGCTGGACGTTTGTGTATGGACTACAGACTAAACAAAGTTCAGGAGACATTGCGAACTGAAATGAAATGGTGGCATGCTTCGAATTGCAGAAGCTTGCTACGGAATCAGCTGGCTCGCACAAGTCTTGCACTGAAGAAGGAGCCAGTCGCCAGTGTTTTTGTACTTCTTTGCTATTCTTCGAAAATTCATTGGAAGTTCCTCCCCCTCTCTCTCTCTCACTCTCTCTCTCTCCTAGCTTTATAGCTCAGCTCAGTTTAACACACACACACACATACACACACAGATATATATATATATATATATATATATATACTTGTATAACTGTGATTGCGTAAATGTGTCATTGTGTAAATGTGATTGTAAGCACACACATCACACGGTTCATCAAATGTGTCATGAAAAATTACACTCTTCAAGAAAATGACCTTTTGTGAGCCTCTCGATGCAACATTGTGACCACAGTAGCAAATGTTATGGGTAGTTTAGGTGATGCAATAGAATTCGAGACGAGGGTCGATGCACGATGCAACACAACGATAGACACTTCGGTCACCTTTTCATTAAAGTGGCGTCTATTACTTGTTACTTTTGGGATATCTGCTAAAATACAAAAAGGCAATACATATATATATATATATATATATATATATATATATATATATATATATATATATGTATATACACAAACACACGACACACAAACACACGACATAGTATGGCACAGCATAGCTTTCGCCTTTGTTGAAAGAACACAGGGGATCAGTGCACAAAAGATGCCATAAGCGTCTGTCATTCCATGACCATGGATGCACCGCACAATAGCGCAAAACTTGCTAATGCGGTACGCAGCATCACAACAGTGTTGTGATGCACACATATCACGATCTCAATGTACTGTGCTTGACAAAATGGCAACATGATTACAGAATTACAGTACGACTGGCCGAAGGTATCACAAAAAATTAAGAAGGTATCACGAGAAACAGACAGGACAAGGAGTTGGTTGGATAGATTACCTCTTGGAGAACTCTGGCAGCTCCCCTTTTTGTTTCCCAGCCACTGTTGTGCCGTATGGAGAGAAGACATCCGCGTGACGGTGATAAGTCATTGTTATGTTGAAGAAGTAGTCCAGCGAATTTAAATGGTTCACCTTTCGCATTGGGGATTCCATCATATAGAAAACAAATTGCTGATCTTGCCGTCTGTGTTCAGGAAGATCTGTCGCGTTCATGTAAAATCCATTGAACAGGACAGCACGAGCTTGACGAAGCAAGGATCTGTTTGCGGTCGTAAGGCAGTTCTTCACCGGGCAGCCACTGAAAGGCTTCTGGCCTAATCCATTATAGAAGACAGGTCTGTCCTGATAATGTGTCCAATAGAGGAGTATGTTGACCCCAGTGTGGTTAGACGAAATAGGCTTCCGTAACGGATGGCTGACCATGGATGTCTCCATTTCGGTATCATTTCGAACCAGCCTGGTGCCGAGCGCAAAGAGCGGCTCATGGCTGAACACTTGTTTCCAGGGGTTTCCAACGAATGTATATGTAGTCAGAAAGAGCGCAATAGTACAGAAAATGAGTTTTTTGTTTGAACATAACTTTTCCATTGACTTCCGCGATCCTCCAAATGTGCATCTGAAAAGTGACGCAATGTCAGTCAAAACAACGCATCACAACGTTGAACCTCGTTGCCCAACACGCATTGGCAAGTTTTGTCATCGGCTCCATTCTGAGCTGCTTACGGTGCCAGACGAATGTCTGGCACACTAGCTTAAACTCAATGGCTCATGCTGTCGAGCGAGGGGCAAAAGATGGAGGCTATTTGGCAGTGGACTCCGTCATGCCCACTTAAAATCAGGGCATATTTTTCTTTCCACCCAGTACTTGGGATAAGGCTGGTGACGAGCGGGGAAAGTGAGACAAGTTGTGGTTGTTTCCATGGCGTTTGGTGTTTCCTAGTTTCAGCCTACACGTGTTGACGGTAGTATGCATTGGACATATGGGCAACTCTGGAGCACATGCGTATGGCGTGATCAGAGATGATTTAAAGAATTAACCTTCCCGAACTGTACAATAGGCGAACGTTCAAAATGTCCGCAGTTTATCATGTCCACTATCCTTGTGATTTGAGGCCATTATAAGCTCTGAGCAACATGAACTATGGATAACATCAACTATGGATGACACGAATTCATGGCGTTATGCACTCTGGACACGCTAAACATTATGGACCATATGAAAACCACATATGAACACATTCACACTGCAGAATCCGGCGTGCACAATCAGCAACAAGAACAGCGGCGAAGGATATAAAGAAGTAAGGAACAACGCAAATCTTGACCATTGCATGCGACGTGTACATGGGGCGGTTCGTGTTGGATGTGACTTGATATGGCTAGAACCCAACCAGAAGGGTAGATGCTTGAGGCATCAATGTGTTGATTATCACGTCATAACAACAAATGCACAAAAAGCAATTCGGTAGTCAAATAAGAATGAGGCGATTTGGAATGTGTTTCGGCACAGTGACACGATAATCAGTTCATGCAGTGACTTCTCATTCTTAACACTGCCCTCAGGAATTAAGCATGGCATGGATACTTTTACCATTTCTGATGGCGCAGTTTCGTACATCTGAGCAGTTTTCATGAATTGATCATTCAGATCCACCTATTGTCAAAAAGTGTAGTTGTGGCACAGGTATCGATACCTTAGATCCTGAGATATGCATAGTTTTGCTCCAATCCACCACCCCGGATCTCAAGGTGGGTTCGCGTTAATATTCCTAGCTGACACCATTTACTGTTTCCCTCCCAAATGCTATTAATCAAACTTAGAGCAGACCGCAAAACACTTTATAATGCAAGAAAGAGGTATATCAGGCGCAGCACTCAACTTATACAGCTCGAGACCTTCATCATGCGCCGGCCGGGCTCGTGAACGCTTTCAGCGGTCTACCCTGGTAGATCAACCTAACTATCGTACGTAATGTTACCATGTAAATGTAAGTGTAAATGTAATTACGTAATGTCACGAAACCGTGACCAGAATGGAGCTACAACCCTAACCGCAATAAACCCGCAAACCGGAACCCTCGATGCGAAATGCTTACCCTCTACATCCATCTGCACATATTTTAACTCTGTCTTTTTCATTCACACATCTACCGAAAAGAGGTAGCCTGGACATATGATTTTTGGGGTAAAATTAGATCAGCAGCCTCGACCAAGGTACAGACACTGCATGACAGTACATGTACATGCAGTACATGACACTACATGCAACAGCATGTTTCAATCTCGCGAAACAAGGCGCGCTTGTCTGAGTGCGGTTACGGCGGATCATAACGGGTCAGCGTGTTGTCCCAGGGAACAACGTCACAAATATCTTAAAATCCGAACATTTGCATGATATCAAAGCCTGTGTTTTGCGTTTTCAGCTCTCGGTGTTGACGGTGGATGCGTGGGTGGATGCGGAGATGACGGTGGAGGCGAAAGCTTCAGTGCCGGAGGAGGCGGTGGCTGCAGGTTGGGGAAATACGAATCCGGAATACCTCTGCGCTCCAGTGGCCAGTGCTGCCGCCATGGTCAGACGGTTCCTACCGCTGGAAAAATGAGGGAAGCCGCTGATGTTTTACAGTGTGCTGGAGCACGTTAGATCCAGCTTAAACAAGTCGGCAGGGGAATTACTTTTGACGTGCTCGATACAGCAGACTCACAATGACCTTGTGTTCCAATAACAATTTGCTGGAGGATGTTTATTTTACTGTACACCGTTTGGTCGCATGAAGAAGCAAACGATGTATTTCTTGAATAATTACTAAAGCTGTCTTGGCAAAGTTGGTAATACACCGGTCAGCTTGTTTGCTTTTGTAGCATTTCGCCCTTGATCTACGAGGTTGTCTACCGAAGTTAACCACGAGTTGATAGTCCCTTTCTGTACTCTAGAAAATATATACTCTAGAAAATATTCTAGGAAAATATAAACGCTTGGCGGGTCGAAAGTGTTGATCAATCGGCTTAGTAATAGCTTTCAGAGGACCGCAAATTTTTTACCACACACTTGCAGCTATGTTCAAAATGTGCTACGACATATGACAACACATAGTAGCAGAGCCGCAGCCAGAGCTTTGACAAGGGGGACACAGGGTTGCTAAAGAGGCCCCCTGAAAGTAAAAGGGCATCCCCAAAAATCACCTGATATGGCTTATTTATTGATGGGGGGCACGTTTTCACGTATATGACTATATGTATATATTTATATGTACATATGTTCTGTCCTAAACATGTATTCAATAAACTGAAAAATATCATGCCTTAAATGACTGCATGAAATAAATCGCCGGCGCTCTTTACTTTGAAATGGTCCAATGAACTCTTTTTAAGACGCTGGGACCCAGAAACTTCGTCAGAATTTTCATCTGGGCTGTACAGAGACAGCAAGAATCCCGCGAATGTGGGTTGAAGAGCAAAATGGGTCAACAATTTGCATTAACATGGCCAAGCATGTTTGTCTGGATATTTTCAACATTCAGGCAGAATCGATTCGTGGAACTAATTATGTAACGTATCCTTGACCATGCGAGATCGCATGTCTCAGCAACGAAAACCTCGACGCTAGGCGTCGCAGTCTCCATAGGTAGTGCAGCGTCGATCTGGTGGTTAATATAAGGCTGCGGCCAACAAGTGCTGGAAAATGATGATGCATTTGAAATAAGTACCGTTGAACGCTTTCAGGCATCAAATCGTACGCGCGCGCGGCGCCCGCCCCCTGGCGTTACTTGCAGTGGCCAACGCCGTTTTGGCTGGCGAGGCGCTTCACGTGCCGTGGCCGTCTGTGCCGAGGGCCCGACTCGGCTCACTGCCCCTGCCACATAACTGTGCTCCCCCCCCCCCCCCCCCACCCGCTCATGGTGCCCGCGCCGCCGGGAGGTGCCGCTAGCCGATTACCGTCAAACACATGCATAAACCAGGTTGTGGCCTTCCCGCACCATAACTTTCGGCGGTAATTCATGCCGGTAAAAGTGCATAGTTTGGCATCGCGGCTGTTTTGGCGCATTGTTGCGATGAACCGTGGCGTTGACTGTCACGCTCAAGATTTGGGGGTACCTCTTATGCGACAAGCAACAACCAATGGAATGACAGCAATGGAAAATCCAACAAGTGTAATTCATAGATGGTCACAATAATGAGCAATTACGTGCCCGGGAAAGCCGGGTACGTAATGTTCATTTACGTTCGCATCGCGGTCATCCGGTCAGCAATGTTCGTCTTAATTAAAAACACTGGCATTGCGGGGCGGCCAGATGTCATGTATATCATGCATCTCAATTCACCTGGTTGGCTCTCTTTACGTACACCACGACAGCCATTGCAGAATTGACGGACATCAATTACGTGTGTTCATAACGCGGAGTTTTTGTCTGTGGGAATCACCTAACAACGTGCCGTTTGGCAGATCTGAAGCCCGAAATGTTCCAGATTGGTACGTTTTCTGGCGATACTTTATGGTATGTAACGGCAAATTTGAACATGTACTTCAGACGTTATGACAGTGACGCACGCGTAAAACACGTTATTATAAATGTTATGACCATGCGCTCGGTGTTGGGCTCCCGCCGAGCTACGAAAGCAATCGACAAAGGTAGAATAGATGACTGCATTTTTTTCATTTCAACCGCTGATAAATGATGCAGACCATCGACAACGGACAAGTACAATGCACTCACAACTCCGATAAAATTGTGATGCACTTTTTCTGAACGTTGTCTTGTCACACTGCGCATGCCTCTTAAACATGCGCGTCGTTTTTTTCCCATTTCGGAATCCCAATTCAATCGCGACGCCAGCGGCACATCACAACACTGACACAAGACAACGTACACGTGTACAAATTTCCTGACCCGACGCCCACTATCGCACCCCACATTACGTATTTTCCCATGCTGATTGCTCTTTGTTCAGGCTTTTCATTTTAAAATTCGATGCACACTGACTTTTGGTACTTCCGGTTGTGTGTTTAAAAGGCTGCCACTGGGCGTTCAAGAAAGGGAAATTCCCTCCTTATTCTTTTTTGTCTCCAGTTTGTCACACAATCTAAATCGTCTCTGACCCCCCCCCCCCCCCCAACGCGATGCATTGAGTTGTGTCGAGAACGTGCTTCGATAAGCCCGAATGGGTTTTATCCGCGTTTCTCATCGCCCACTGTTGTTTACGCTTTCTGGTCTGTAAGCTTCTACACATTCCCCCAAATTTCCCCTCCCCACATCAACATTTCTCCATTCACATGTGTGTCGGTAAATTATTTCTGTCTTTTCATCCTTTTTTAACTTGTCTTTGGGCCACACTGGGTAAGTTTTAAGACCAAAAGACGGGAATAATGCATCGATGCATATGTGCGTGCGGAAAGGTTTATGTGGGGGAGACTTCTAGAACTTTAAAGACCGGCAGTGGTCAACACCAGTGAGTGTTGAGAAACGATGGTATAAACCATTATCGGCATATCGAAGCTTGTTCCGGGCACAGGTCATTGCATCGCGTAGGGAGGGGGGAAAATTCTACATTAGGAGGGAAACTGGAGAAAAAGGAAGAGTACAGAGGGTATTTCCATTTCTAGACAGACAGCTGGATATCAAATCGGGGTACCAATAACGCATGTGTATCAAATTTTAAAATGAAAAGACTGAAGGACAGTCGGCTTGGGGCAATGTGTTTTAGCGTCGTTATATGCTGTACGCGCCGCTATTGAATCGGCTCCGAAAATGGGAAAAAAGCTATGCACGTGTTTAAGAGGTATGCGCTGCATCAAATAGTTGTTATGGGACAAGGCAACATTAAAAAAGTGCACTGTAATCGCATCGAAGTTGTGAGTGCATTGCACGTGCTTTTCTTGAACGATTCGCATTATTTATCTGCGGTTGAAATGTCGCAGATATCTAATACGGCCAGCCATCTCTTATACTTTTGTTGTCTCAGGAGGATCAGTATGTTAGATTACACACGACTTTTAGCTTTTTTTTAATGCGTGTCTGAATCTCTTTTTGTGAATAGCATTGCCTGACCAAGGCTGATAGGGAAAGGGATCGAGATCATCCCCAAAGTTTTCGTTGAGTATAAGCAAGCTGGTTGGAATACAAATTTTACATTTACGATGTCCCTGTTCAGTAACATTATCAAACATATCAGAACGTGAAGTGTGTGCTAAAAAAGCTTTTTCAAGACAAAACCCAGCACGCAAATGCAAATTAGGCGGCGTCCACGTTATCCAAAAGCCGCTGACCTCATAGCTCACGTGCAGCACAGGTGGAGGTGACCGGCGTCAGAACCAGGGCGAATGCGAGCAATGGACTGAACCAAGGCTTCGGTATCACCAAGCAGTGATCCGCTGTTGTAGCTACGGCGCATGCGCGGCATGGCGACGTGAACGCTACAGGCCGGGCATAGTTTACGGTGCGGCGTAAAAACTGCTCAGATAGCAAGTCTGGTCGCCGCCGATTCGGAAGGAAAAGGGCCATTGGTACGGAGCTACATGCAACAGAAGTGCATCTTGGAAATCTAACGGGAGAAAACGACGTTGCAATAACATCAATTCTTTCCAATAGGTCCGATGGGAAGCGCAGGTGCGTGGGAACAATGATCGCGCGGGGGGGGGGGGGGCTTGCCTCGATGTTCTGAAAATTGCACGTCAGTCTATGAACGTTGACTGCCGGAAAACAGCCTAAACATAGCTGGTGATTGAAGCAGAGACAAGGGCAATAGCGGAAGAGAGAGACGGTTTATACTTGGTGCGAGTTTAGTTGTTTTGCGCCTGCGCGCTGTCGGCCGCTGTCCTGTGCGCTGCCTTCCGCTGTCCTGTGCGCTGACGGCCGCTGTCCTGTGCGATGTCGGCCGCTGTCTTGTGCGCTGTCGGCCGTTGTCGTGTGCGTTGTCGGCCGCTGTCCTGTGTGGTGTCGGCCGCTGTCCTGTGCGCTGTCGTCGACCGCTGTCCTGTGCAGTGTCGGCTGCTTTCCCGTGCGCTGTCGGCCGCTGTCCTGTGCGCTGTCGGCCGCTGTCCTGTGCGCTGATGGCCGTTGTCCTGTGCGCTGTCGGCCGCTGTCCTTTTGCTGACGGGCGCTGTCCTGTGCGGTTGCTGCGATTGATGCTGCTTGTCAACTGGCGTAATCGAATGGCATAAGAGTAACGTCATAACCGAGCATGTGAATGCAAGAAAACATATTAAACTCGCAGGTAATGGTGCAAGAACACCTCGAGAAAGGGCCAAGACACGAGCAGGAAATTATTTTTGGTTCAGCAAACACTTTCCGCCCGTACTGCCTTCTGCAATCACGAGTATGGCGTAATACAGGTAAATGGCAATTTTGCTCAGCTAGTTTGGCAGTACCTCAACGTCATATAAACGTTCCATGACGCAATCAAGCAATGACGTCTTGAGGACCATGTTTACTAAATAAAAAAATTGTGTCGTCTAGAACATTTTTCACTTCAAATCACAGCATTGACTACAGGTATTTCGTCCTATGTGATGCGTAGGTGAGCAAGAAGCAACAACCTTGTTCCTCGGAGAAAAAAAACAGGAGAATTGAGATATAGATGGGTTGATATTTCCGCAACATATCTTTATCGAAACAATAGCAGAAGTGCTATTGTCTTGTTAAAGGTATGTTGCCGAAATACCAACCCATCTATACCTTTATTCTTCTCTTTTTTCCGAGGAAAAGGTTATTACCACTCTATTATTTGTGTGAATAATGTTCCTCGCAACCGCACTTAACAACTTCCGTAATATCTTCGATATTTTCAATGTCTTCACATGAGGAACATTTCCTTTAAATAACTATCCAACATTTTGGTCAGTCCGTGATCATCCTCAGGTGTCATTATTTCAGTTGAGTGCTTTTCCCACCCGAACACCATGGAGGGCCTTGGTCGGAACATTGTAAAGCACCAAGCCTCCTACCTGCTTTACACGCCAATCGGTAGCGATGCCGGCCAACAGACACGCAACAAAACAGTCAGGCGAGCATTTCGTAGTCAGTTATGCGGATGGCGACCGCGTCGACAGGCAACGGTCAGGTCAGGGCGGAGGCCGTTAACGACGGGCGGGGCAGGGCTCGCCCCGGGAATATCCGAACGAAACACCTTTGTTCTGTGGCTTTGCAGTCTTGCAGGAAAAATATCGTTTTTGCTATTTCACGTTATTCTGGCGGCCTTTTTGAAGCTCTTTGTCCTGGAGCGTCTCGCCATCCCGTTTTAGTTTGACATTAATGACATGGATTGCGAGTCAAAAGTTCTAAGATAGCTCTCACGTGTTTCCCTGGCATTTGTGGCTGTTAACATCAGGTCGCGTACATATTAATGCATGACATAACTTTGGTGAGGAGGGGCTCGAGGGCTTCTATATACGCACGCCTCTGCTTTCTTCTGAAAGTCGGGGCTGGAGTACTTTCCCCAACTTCATGGGAAATTTCAGCCCTTGGTTGAGCGGCATTTGCGACCACATTATCGTAGCTGTAAATGGTGGGGTATTTCACCCAAGGAAGAATGCAAGACACCATCTTGGTGGCCAACGCCGGATTATGAATAAAAGGTCAAATATAGGATATTTCATTTCATAATGCTTCAAATGTTTCGTAGGTCACGGATTTCGCTTCCTTTTATGCGAGTTCTCCAAAATGAAAGACGCGGGAACCAGTAGGGGCAGGAGGCAGTGCAGACAGCTTGCCCCCTGCCCCAATTTGAGGGGAGTGTGGAAGGCCTATTCCGGTACATTAAGGGCCTGTTCTGAACTGTAAAGGGATTGTGATACAAAGGGAAATGCAGAATTCAAAACAGCAGCATATCAGTCTACTCATCATGACCTTTAAAAGATCAAACAAGGTCAGTGACCTCAACTGAGCGTATGACATTTTGCTTAGAATAGTTGCCTGGGTTCTAGGGGCCCTTTGGAGACCAATCTGGAATTTGAAATTGCTTGACCTTATCTGACCTGAAGTTCATGACCCAGAAACTTCAAACTATGACCTAAGTGAGTTCACGTGCAGGTCAACACACCCTGGGAATGTGGTGTCTCTAGCTCTCTGAGTTCCCGATATATTAGGCGGGGGGGGGGGAGCAAATTGACCCACCCCGCCCGAGCAAAGGGTATCCAACCGGCCACCCGGGCTCATGTTAAGAGGTCAGATAAGGTCACTAACCTTAACTGAGAGTGTGACATTTTTCTTAGAACAGATGCATAGGTTCTAGGGGCCCTCTAAAGACCAAGCTGGAATTTTACCTTATTTGACCTTATTTGACCCGAAGGTCATGACCTAGAAGCCTCAAACCTTTGTCTAAGAGAGTTAACGTAAAGATCAACACATTCTGCGAATTTGGTGTATCTAGCTCTCTTAATTCCCGAGATCTGGGGGGTCAAATTGACCCCCCCCCCCCCCACCCGAGCGAAGGGTATCCAACCGGCGACCCGGTGCGCGTGTTAACACCCACTCGGGTGGGGGTCAATCGACGCGGCACGGCGTAGCCGCGCCAAATATTCCATAGCTGTAGAAAATTGCATAGCGAATCGTTTGACACACACACTTTAGATGTACCTTGTAAGGTCGCTGACCTATGACAGGTCAAAGTTAGCCCACGGTTTCAGCGAGGGCAATTTCTATGGAATTGTTCAATCTCATCCAACAAGGAAGTGTTAGACGAAGTCATGCATCTCTGAGATACTTTCTTAGGCAATACAACAGTTGAATTGAGAAATTGCATTGACCTGGGGTCAGGTATAAAGGTCAGGCCAAGGTCAAAACCAAACTGCTTTATACCTCTAGGGCTTGCTGTATGGGATAGTTTCCGGTGCTCATTTCGAATATATTGATAACAGCAACCACATTATACATCTTCCAAGGACCTCTTTAAGGTTAGAGTAGGTCGCTGACCTAAAATGACCTAAGCCAACACTTTTTTAGGAATATATTGCCTAGCGTAGTTTTCGTCGCTTATTCAAAAGCAAAACTCAAAAGCAGTATTGTATTATGTTGGTCACAATGACCTTTGAAAGGTCAATCAAGGTCACTAATCCCAAGTGAATATGTGAACTTGTGCTTAGAGCAGTCATCTAGATTATGGGGCCCCTTTAAAGACTGATATGGAATTCGACCTTGTTTGATCTTATTTGACCCGAAAGTCATGACCTTGGAGCCCCAATCTTTGACCTAAGTGAGTTCACGTGCACGTCAATACACTCTGTGAACGTCTAGCTCTCTTAGTTCCTGACATCTCATGGGTGTCAAATTGGCCCCCACCCGAGCGAAGGGTATCCAACCGGCATCCAGGGCGCGCCTTAACCGTGGCATGCTGATCCTGCCACACACCTCCAGCTGTCAGTCAGCCATCTTGCATGACGGCCATCACAGGGACAGGACCACGCGACAGGCAGTGCTATTAAAATACGACGCCATTTCCCGGAGAAAGAAAATTGTCATCGGCACTTCGACGCGACCTGTGTCTGTACCCATCCCCTCACTCGTCTTAGGAAACCCAGTGTTCATCCCATTGCAGCAGCGTACGTAACTGGAAGCAGCAATACGCCAGATCGCAGCTTTTAACATGTCAAACCGACGGCGAGAAGTAGCGCCATGCCCGCCTCAGACGATAACGCACATCAAAACATTGACGTTGACTGAAACATTGCATATTCACGACCCAGCGCGCAAAAACCGCGGAGGTAACCCGGTGATGCTCATAACTGGACAGCTGTCCTTCCCTAAACCGCTGAGCTGCCTGCACGTCGGCGTCCGCCGACGCCAGCGCGAGCCGTTCTCTAAAGGCCGCCGACGTCAACGCCCGTCGCCCTGCGAAGGCCGCCGACGTCAACGTCCGTCGCTCTCCGCCAGCATCTTGTGCAAATCTCCCCTCATCAAATTTATGGCGTGTATTAATGTGTATGTTACAAAATTCTGAAAGCTGAAGACTGCATTTGCGTGCGCAAAAACGAGAATGTCGAGAACGTGCCGCATTGTTTCAAGCTACGGAGGAAGCTGCGGGCGCACGTAACGTGGTTTTCATTGAAAATGGTTGCGTGCGTACGAAAGCTGAGTTGTGCTGTGTCCCCTGGCGGAATTTAAGGCACGTCTCTGCACAAGCGTCACATATTTCGCGGCCGTGGCGTGGTGTTGTCCTGCGGTGTTGACCGCGGGACGGGCCGCGGCTGGTGTTTTCCCGAGCGGCGCGGTACAGCAGATGTCAACCAGCGGCTTGGAACGCCAGCCGGGAGGCCGGGGATGTCACCCAGGCGGCCGGGGATGTCGACCAGCGGCTTGGAGCGCCAGCCGGGCGGCCGGGGATGTCAGCCAGG